ATGTTTACATGAAACATTTTTGATCTGATCAGGCCGGATTCAGATTATTTGTGTCCATGTAAACGTAGCTAGTGTGATAACAGTAAAAAAAAAAAGGCTAAAAATAATTAAAAACAAAAGAGATGCTAAATAAATTGGGACTTTCCATTGTAGGATTTTTAAAAAGAACGTTTTAAAGAAAGAAAAACTGTAAATCTGCTTTGCATTAACCTGTATTGATGACATCACAAGAGGCGTTAAGAATCAACCTAAAGGAGCTAACATTAATAAAAAAAAGGAGACATCTTTTAGGCCAGATGTATCAGCCTCCCAGTTGGACTCCAGTGACCCTCCAAAGACCAAACCACAGTAGATTCTGCCAGTCGTCACCACAGAGCTTTACCTGGTAGGAATCGGTTTATATGCATCTCACATTTTCTGTCTGATTTGGTTTCATGTTTTAAAGAATCTATAAAATTATTAAAGAAGCCTTTGAGTATCATGCAAGTAGCAAAAAAACAAACAGGCATCAACGCGGGCAGAGGTTCCTCACATGCAGCAGTCACCACAAAACTAAAAATAAATAAACTTTCAAGGATGGGTGTAATTTTATGCCTTTTTTTTTCTTTTACTTTCCAGGTTTTAAATATATATTTTTTTATATATTAAAACATTTTAAAGGATTTCAAGGATCCATGGGAAACTGCACACTGGAAAAAATCTAAATCTAGATGTCATTTTTTCTTATAAAAAGTGCATTTGTTCTTGCATTGAGGAGGAAAAAGATACATTTTGCCAATGGAACAAGACAATTTACATTTAAAATAAGAAAACACAATTTCATTGTCTTATTTCAAGTGCATTTTATCTAATCATCTTATTTTAAAAGTAAAAATACTCATTCCATTGGCAAACTATGTCATTTACCTACTTAAATTAAGGGTAAATACACTTAATTTAGGAAATTATAACTTATTACTAGATTGTTTTTCCAGCGCAGCATCAGTAGGTGGCTTTAGATGGTGAATGTGACGGCACACCACAGCTTTATGTTTATTTATAGAAAAGAACGAAAGCCATTTATCAGTAGAGCCTCCCTGCATGCAGTCTGAAGTCACATTAGTTCACCTTACACACAAAAAAAGTTTATTTCTAATCACCAAGTGATGGGATTAATTGCATTTTTCCTTTGTTAAGTGGACTAATGCTGTTCTTAATGTGCATGCATGTTGGAGCTGATTGGAAGTATTCAGCTTACTTAAAGGAATAGTACACCCAAA